TAGCAAGGACATTAGTAAACTCAGACAGATAGGATTTCTTTGCATCAAAAAACTCCCTTATGGTAATTCCTAGATGCGGAGGTTGCAAATGAGCAAACGTCCCAAATAACACCGTGTTGCGACCAATTGTTGAACCAAAAAGATCCATTGCCTCCCCTCATAATAAGTTTAGTGTTGCTTGCTGCCTTAAATTCAACTTTCGAAATGCGACTCCAAGAAGTTTTTCTTTTTGCCGCATTTGAAAGTGAATTGATGAATTTGCTCCACACACCTTTCTTTTGCTTTAACTTCCACCACAATTTAACCGTCAAAGCATCAATTATTCCCTAAAAGTCACGCAACCCAAAACCATTCTCCCAAACTGGAAAAGTAAGCCTCTCCCAGGACCTCCAATGCCGCTTACTAATATCCGCTGAGCCACTCCATAAGAATCTCTGAAACTTCTTTTCCATTTCTCTAATTATAGATTTCAGAGGTGGAATAGCTGAGAAGACATGTATTGGAATTGAAGACAATACATGCCTTATTAAAATGAGTCGACCACCCAAGCTTAGTAGCTTGTTCTTCCAACGCAGGAGTTTAGCATCCATATTATCCAAAAGGAATTGAAAAGTAGAGGACTTTCAGTTTCCATGATACAAGCGACACCCTAGATAAGTAAAAGGTAATGATCCTTTCGGAATTCCTGCCACCATAAAAGCGCTTTTCTGACGATTAACCTTTTGGCCCGACGCTTGCTCATAAGAAGCAAGGAAAGAGTTTAGCTACCTAAGCGACCTTTTAAATCCCCTTGTAAAGATAATAAGGTCATCAGCAAAAGCCAGTGTGGAACCACCAAAGCCCCCCTTGGAACATTGTAATTCACCACTAAACCACAATAAACAAGGTGATTTAGCCTTCTAGTCATAGCTTCCACCGCTACTATAAACAAGTAAGGGGACAACGGATCTCCCTGCTTGATCCCTCTTGTGGGTTGGAAAAAGCTAGCTGGGCTACCATTTATCATGACTGAAAATCAACTATTACGGAGGTTGTTCATTACAAGAGGGAAACCAAAATTGAGCAAAACCTTCTCAAAAACTCCATTTAACCCGGTCGAAAGCCTTCATCAAATCAAGCTTAAGCACCACATTACTACCCACAGTCTTCCGACCAAGGAATTGATAAAGATCCTGGGCAAATATCACATTATCCACAATATCCCCACCTTCAAGAAAAGCCGACTGTTCCTCTGAGATAATCTTTGGTAATACAACCTTATGCCTTTCAGTCAAAACCTTCGTAAAGATCTTATTCAAGAAATTACAAAGGTTTATTGGCCGATAATCCGAGAAAGTACTAACGGCCAAATTCTTCGAAATGAGAGTGATCAAGGTGCTTACGATGGATCTTGGAATTGGAACACCAAGCATAAACTCCTTGCAAGCATTTAGCGAATCAGTAGCAACAATATCGCAACAACTCCTATAAAAAGATCCACCAAAACCATCAATTCCAGGAGCTGCATCTTCACTCAAATTGAACATCGCCTCCTCAACTTCTTCTAGAGATATTGGCTTCAGCAGTACATTGCAATCTTCATTGTTCAAAGTTGATGGAATATGATGAATTAAAGCATTTTGAGCTTCAACCACATCTTGATCCAAAACAGAATCACTCAAGAGCTCCTTATAGAAATGCACCGCTTTATTCTCAATCCCAGCGGCATCGGTAATCATAGTACCATCCATAGCTTGGATTTTGAAGATTCCTTGTCTCATTCTACGCTCTTTCAAAGCCGCATGAAAGAAGGAAGTGTTAGCATCCCCTTCCTTTAACCACTTAACGCTCATTTTTTGAGCCCAGAAACCTTCATGTTCTTTTAACTTCTGCAGGAAAGCAGCCTTAGCAATATTCATTTGAATCATACACATTCCCCTGGTGCTGAGCACTTGCCTCGGCCTTCTTCAGATTCTCAAAAAACGTCACCAAAAACTTCCTTGTTCCACTCCTTCAACTTCACTTTCAGCCGTCTAAGCTTTAAGGAGAACCCAATCATGCCAGATTGAAACATAGGCTCGTCCCAGGACTCCTTGACAACCACTTTGAATTCATCTCTCCTTATCCACATATTTTGGAACCGGAAAACCTTTAGTTTGCTGACAGGTTGCGGCGCGACCAGATGTAAAACGGGACAATGATCTAAGGTTGTGCGACTTAGGTTCTCAACAGAAGATGCCGTAAAAAGATCTTGCCATTCTTTGTTGAACAAAACCCTATCCAACTTCTTACAACCGAAGTCTCCATAAAGGGCTCAACAACATGCACTTTTTCCCCAGCCGCAACCGAATACTCAATTTTAGTCACAACCTCTTCAACATTCGCAACTTCAGGAATTAGCTTGAGCTGCAAGGCATTTATGTCTCCACCCAAGTCCTCATTATCAATTTCAGTGATTAATTCCGAAGCCCCAAACCGATTAGTTACTGTCGTCACCATATCCCCCTTCGCAACCTCAGTAGAAACCCTAGTCGCAAGGTTAACCGCAGCTGTCTCGATTTCTGGTTGACTAACCGGCAATTTCTCCGACAAAATTTTTGTTGGAGAGCCTTGTAATCAACAGGAATGGCACCTTTCTCTTTTAGAGATAAGCCCGATGAAGATCCCTTAGCCTGTGCAACATTGGAGACCTTCAGAACCGCTTTAGGGTTTTCCGGCTTTTTGAGTATCGATTTCGGCTGTACATCTTTTGAAGGGGTTTTCTGCTTCGATTCATCAACCAACTTCCACGAAACCCCTTTCTTGCAATCCTCAGCCTTTTGGACGATTTTGGAACATTTGGAGCAGTAGGCGGGAACATGCTCATACGTGAAGAATTGTTCATGCTTTTTCCCTTTTTTTCCAACCTTAACAGATTTAGAGAACTCCTTCGTTAAATCTACTTCAACACAAAATCTTACAACCGAAGGCCGCGTGAGATATAGAGTTGGGGCATCGACTTTTAAAGGTATTCCCAATCGCCGTAGCCATTGAGAAAATAACCTCCATATTCAGAAATTCGATTGGGAGATCATGAAGTGATACCCAAATTGGGACAATCGAGGGATCTTCTTCAAACTTGAATCCTAGCTTCCACTTTAGTATCCGCATCGAGAACTCTGTGATGTTCCAAAAGGTATGCATCCAACAATGTTGGTAGTCGTCCTCCCTTTTGAAACGAGTTAATACATGTCTAGAGTTCATCAACCCTAGAGTGTAATTTCCATGAAACCGAATTTTCTTAAACTCCTTGTGGATTTCCTCCATCTTTGGACGACCATATGAGAACTTCCCAACCAAACTCAATTGGTGTGGAGTTATTAAGCGCGCGTACTCCTCTTCTTCATATTCAATGACGGCGCCACCGTTTACGAAAGTAACAGGCTTGATAAGAGATCCTTTTTGTGATTTTTCAACCGGTGGCTTGTGAAATAAACTAGCAAACATTAGAGAAGCCTAGTGGGGGCATCGCCCGAAAGATTTTCGGCCATGGTGGTCAGCTGAAACTAGGGTTTCGTCAAGGTAGGCCGTCGTGCGCGTGAAAATAAATGTTTATTGTCTTTATTAAAAAAAATAGAGTAGAATTTATGAAAATACATATATTGTGGTTTATGTGTTTGTTTGTTTGCAATAGGTTTTGAGATAGAGTTCAAAAACATATTTGACAAAAAAAAAATATTTTCAGAACTACACTTTGGCCAATAGTGAACGTCGCTTCATCAGTAAAGCTGTGTCTGGAGCACTGCAAGCCGACGACCGAGTGGTCAAATTTTTGTTAAAGTTTCTATGTCCAAAATTTTTTGCCCCACCTAGTGTCGAGGGCCTAGTTTCGCCCCTGCATGAAGTGTATACAAAAAAGAAGAGCTTCTGAGAAATTCAGCCAAAAAGTAGCTCTAGTTGGCATTGGAAGCGGATTCTTAAATTGAAGGCGAAAGTGAAGGATGGATTCATTGACAACAAGTGAAAACATACTTCATCAGGTGAATATTCTGGCTATAGGTGGTTGATATTGGGAGGGTGATAAACTTTAGGCAGCTAACTTTGTATCTTCTAAATATAATATTCCTAAGCGTTCTTTTATTGTTGGGTTGCTTTGGAGGAAAATGCTATTGACCAAGGATAAGCTGGTTTGTAATCAATTTACTTCAAGGAGATACAGAGTGTGTGTTGTGCAAGGAGGAACACAAAACATCTGAGCATTTGTATTTTGAGTGCAAATTCTCTAATAATTTTCTTAATGCAATGACACAATGGCTAGGTATCAATTAGTTGTCAGGAAAATTGTCGGAATGGAAGGAAAAACTTATGATTGTATGGAAGAACCTAGACTGAGAAGTATACTGAAAGCAACTCTATATCATGTATGGAAAGAGAGAAATGCTAGAATTTTTGCTGGAAAATGTAGGTCTGCTAAGATCATTTTGCCTATGATCAAGAGGGAGGTCCAATGTAGAACTGAACGTTGTATGGGAAGCAAACTGTCAAATCAGGAAAGACAGATTCTGCAGGAAACTTTTGAAGCTTAGAGACAGTAGGCAAGACTAGTAGATAGTTTCAATGTAATAGTGAGTTTTTTTTTTTTTTTTTTTTTCTGTTTTTTGTGGTAGATGTGTACTTCATTGAAGAAGACCTTAATATACATTTTACTAAAAAAAAAGAGAGGGATAAAGTTACATAAAACTACAGGCCATTATCTTAAAGGATTGTTTTTGATAATATGCTTAAGATGAATCACATCAAAGTCAAGAAATCAAAAGTACTCTAACCATGAGATAAAGCTGTTACTGATTTTGGAGAAGCAACAATAAACTTGATTCTTGAGGACAGGATAGTTTGAAGGGCCTGACAATCAATTAAAAGGAAATCGAAGCCCAAAATATGTAATTAATTATAGTGGCTAGGTTTTAAGTGAAGCTTTCAAGTCTCGATCCGGTTAGAAGTATCTGAATTCTAGTTTTATTCAGCGAAGCCTTCTCCTTTCCCAAATACTCAAATCTCTAATCATCATCTTCAGTTGATTGTTTAAATTGAATTTATATATCACTGGTTGTATGACGAATTCATTGTTCAAATTGATTTCTCCGCCCTTTATCGATTTCTTCTCGAAACTTATGCCAATTGCCCCATCTCCCGAATCACTAAACCCTAACCAAATTCCCAAACCGTCCCCAATGCCTCCGCCTTGTACGGCGGAGCAGCAACAGCAGCCCCAAAACGTCCTGCCGGAAACCAATGACGGCGAGGCCAACAAAAGCCTTAATTCCGACAAGCCGAAGGATAGTTCCACGGCTCCGGCGGCCACGCTGCTCCACGTGTCATTCAACCAGGACAGCGGATGTTTTGCGACGGGGACTGATGGTGGATTCCGAATCTATAACTGTGACCCGTTCCGCCAGCTTCTACACCGTGATTGTAAACTTGCCGGCGGTGGCGTTGGGACTGTCGAGATGCTTTTCCGTTGCAATATCATGGCGCTAGTGAGCGGCGGCGGCAAGGATAAGCCAATCCCTCCTCCCAATAAAGTGATTATCTGGGATGATTTTCAGAGGCAGTCCATTGGAGAGCTCTCTTTCAGATCGGAGGCGCGTGGAGTGAAGCTACGGAAGGATCGGATTGTTGTGGTGCTGGAGCACAAGATCCACGTGCACGATTTTCCGGGTTTGAGACCGTTGAATGATATCGAGACAATTTCCAACCCTAAGGGACTCTGTGCTCTGTCTCAGGGACCAACAGAATCCTTTGTACTTGTGTGTCCAGGTCAGCGCAAGGGTCAGGTTAGGGTTGAGCATCATGCACCATCCAGGAAAACTCGGTTCATTCCGGCGCATGAGTCCGAGATCGCATGCTTGGCACTCTCCCAGGACGGCCAGTTGGTGGCTACCGCGAGCGCTAGAGGTACTTTGGTTCGCGTTTTCAACACACACAATGGCGAGCTCGTGCAGGAGTTAAGGCGGGGTACAGACAGAGCTGATATTTACAGCCTCGCGTTCTCCCCATCTGCTCAATGGTTGGCAGTCTCCTAGTAACAAGTGCACTGTTCATGTTTTCAGCCTTAAGACGGCTTCTGGCGGCGCCACAGCGAGCAAAAATTTGAGTTTTCAACCGGAACCTAAGCTTTCAAGAACTTCATCATCATCAGGCTCATGGTTGTCTTTAATGAAAGGTGTTTTACCCAAGTATTTCAGTTCAGAATGGTCCGTGGCTCAGTTTCGTTTAAAAGGAGGATGTCAGTACGTTGTTGCCTTCGGGCATCAAAAGCATACGCTGGTAATACTTGGGTTGGATGGAAGCTTCTACAGATGCAAGTTTGATCCGGCCAATGGTGGAGAAATGACGCAGATAGAACTCCACAATTTTCATTAGCAGGAGTAGTGGAAAACTCGAAATCTTTCAGATGTTTTTATTTTTTTCTTCTGATCTAAATGGCCGTCATAAGCCACCTATTGAAGGGAGTATGTAGAATGCTTGCTTTTGGCAATAATCCCCAAATTTAGAGTAGCTTTATGGCATGCATATTCTTAAGTTGTTAGTTCGTTCTCACTCTCCGTGATCAATTTGGATTTGAGTATCAGTACTTCAAAAGTTCGGGCTGTTAAATTCATCAGAATTATGGGAGACCAAAAATATATAAATAATGGGTTAATCAGTTCGACATGAAAGCAACTATCAACTATGGTTGTACGTAGTTCATTATGAGTGCTAAAAGGCTTCCTGATAAGGTTTTAAACTATTACAAACATTAGGTAAAGATGTGTTTTCTCTACACAAGTAGAGTTCTGCTGGTTTGTGATTTGAATAGCTTCGTGTATAGGACATGTGACCTAAATTTTGTGGGTACTGTGCTAAATAGTTTCTACTATTCACGATTAGTCATAAGACATTTGAGAGAGTATTATTAGATTATTATTCGATAAGACACTTTAAAGAGTCTCAATTTAAGTACCCTAATAGTGCAAAAACAACCTAAATAGTATAGTTATGATACAACAACAATAAGCCTTTTTTTTTTCACTGGATGGGATCGACTATATGGATCATACGTCATAGCGCACGATAATTACATAAATTATCGCTCAAATTTAAATATTTTAAATTATATTTAATAGTCTCTTTTCAAGTTTTCTGAGGTTTACCTCTACCATTCTTAATTTAAATTCTTGATTTTATAGTATCTATCTTCCTAACCGGACCTCCACAGGTCTTCTAATTAGCGCATGTCCGAACCACCTTAATCAATTTTATCTTATTTTCTTGTTTATTGGAGCTACCCCTACTTTATTTCTAATATATTCATTTCTAGTACAACTAAAATAGTGTTTCATAATATTAACTCACTTTTTTAACTTCTTAATAAGACAATTTTTTAAATAAATGCCCTAATACACATGTACTGAGTCACATTGTAGGAGAAGTCTCCCACCATAAGGATATTAGTAGCCCTATTTGTTGTAGTGTTAATATTGATATTGTAATATTTTTTGAATAATTTTTTTTTTTCGGACAGAGAGTAATATTTAGAGTATAATTTTACTGTGAAGGTCTTAAATTGGTCTCGAATTCTGCCTGCTAGATTTTGATCTCATGTGATCGATACATGTATCCAACTCTCGAGCCACTTGGGAAAAAAGTTGAAGATGGCGAGGCAAATGCACAAACATAAGCCTTTGGGATTTAATAGATTGAACGAGAAATCATTACCTAATGTTGTGCCATTCTATGCAATATTCCATGTAACTTATGATCGTGCAATTTGATTTAGCACTAGCAACAATGGAAAACAGAGGTGTGTTGAAAAAAAAAAAAAAAAAGACAATAGGCAGCTAACCTAAACCTTTTGTTAAAAATTCAAATAATCGTTTACCAAAAAAAAAAAAAAAAGTTTACCAAAAAAAAAAAAAAATTCAAATAATCTATTTCGACCAGGCGACTGTATCAATCTCTGCCTGAGCAGCGTTGTACAACTCTAATCTCTTTGCGAGGGAGATTCGTCGCTGAATTAAATCCGGATCCTCATCTAGCAAAGTATCCAGCTGTTTACCCTCCTTTCTCCCCAACTCAACAAAGAAATGATCGAGCAAACTGCGTTTCGCGGCGCAAACTTGACTGTGAGCAATGGATTTCGGGATGGAATTCCTCAAAGTTGCGCACACCATGTTGACATATGACAAGACATTTGACGCTACTTGTTGCAGGTACGAATCCTTGTACCTGTCAAAAATGGATTGTGTCGGATTTCCGCCCTTCCCGATATCCTGCGGGAGTTTCCGGAAGAAATCCACATTAAGGTAACCGCATTCCATATCCACCAGTCGCAAAGTTGTTTTCTTGTTCTCATCCCTCATTTGCTCCAGCGATTCCACGGCCGCGAGGGAAAACTTATTCCTGAGTGATGGATACTGTTTCAATTCTTCAGTCTCGCTGATTGCCTTGTGAACCAGATCCTTTAGTATACGATGCACTGCTTCAACAGCAGCCTCAGCTGGACCTTTGATTGTAGCCAAACTCGATTCAATAAGACGAGGGTACCATTTTTCGGGTGCTAGAAGATGAGGCTGATATCCATCAGCTTCAGTAATAATCTTCCTTACATTGTCCATTGAGAGTTGCTTCTCGAATCTCAGCTTTTCCAATGCAGCCGGAAGCAGGTTGTCGAAAACATTGGACACCTTTTCGCTACCAGGCCGAACTCCATCGAGATGTTCTTTAATTATTCCATCAAAACAATGGCATAGCTTCATAATCATGTACAATTTCCCACCATCATCATTGGCAATCGGTTTCCCAAGACGGCGCAACTCCGATTCCAGCTCATTGATGGTTTTGTTCACCAGCGATTGAATTCCAGGAATCCGGGATTTGATGACGCCCTCCAGGTGTTTCGAGAGGAGAATTTGCGAAATACTCCTGCTCCCTAAGCCTAGCAGCAATCATATCAACACTTGTGTTAATATCAGCTTGTGAACGATTCACCACGCCAATCCAGGGAAACTGTAGCTTGTAAGATCTTCCCTCCAGGATATCAATAGCATCGGTTCCCTTATCCATGAGATCGATTTTCGTAAGCACGCCAATCGTTCTCTCCCCTCTTGGATCCACTTCACGAGACATCCTGATTGCATCTGATGTAGCGAGATCCTGGTTGGCCGGAGATATTGCCAGAATAATACAATTCGGCTTCTCAATAAACGACCGGACAATATTCTCAATGTCCTGAACAATGCTCTCGGGCTGACCCTCAACAGCTACTTTAGTAAGCCCTGGAAGATCAGTCAGTGTCAAGTTCACCAGTTTGGGAGAGTAAATGCTGAGATAGATCGGAACACTGGATATAAGCTTCTTGCTCCGGCCTGTTTCCCGGTCAGTTGTATCGGAGATCTCTCTTCTCACAGCAACAAAATCGGTGAACTTCTGCCCGGCGTGGTGTCCGAATTCTGCATAATCTCTGCCTTGGTCAATGCGGTTAAGTTGCAAGATAAGTGGTCGCCGGGTTACAATGCCAGATCCACGAGGCAAGAAATCCCTTCCGACAATGCTATCAAGTACTGAAGACTTGCCGGAACTCTGGCCGCCGACCACGGCGATGGACGGCAAGGCGTCCCAAAGGGTAGGCAAAGTCGAGTTTTCGCCGTGATCGCCCAATGTGGTGCATGCCTTCTGTAATCTGTTCACCAATGCTCTCAAGTTTTCCATACTTGTTATTATCTAAAGGCAACTCTTTTACTAATATTCTCTTCGGAATAGAGGAAGAAATAAATTGGGCAAACCGGAGAGAGGTGTCCGGTTAATGTTCCGGCAAATTAGGTTCAGGGTTCAGGAGAAGAAATTAACCCCCCTCTCTCGTTATCATCATAATATTTATTACTCCCTCCGTCCCATAATTATTGTCCACTTTGCCCAAAAAATTTTGTCCCAAAATTATTGTCCAATTTGACTTTTTATGGATCAAGTTACACATTTGTCCTTAGTAAAAAACATTATCCATAAAATCTTAGTGGTTAAACAATTACTTATGTAGGGGTATATCCGGTTGTTTAAGGTAAAATATAATTAAGTTTGACCAAAAATAAAATATTTCATTTTAGTAAAACTGGACAATAATTATAGGACGGAGGGAGTATAAGGGAAAGTTATGTCACTAAAACAATTCTGTTCCAAGTATGAAAACGATCAATATTTTCGTTCCCCTAAAAAATTAGTATTAGGCTTTTATTTATTTATTTATTCTTTTGTTACAAAAGAAAGGAGGCTGACTTAGAAATTTTTTCAAAAGCTCTTTTTCAAGCCAAAATTTAGGGTTTTTGTAATAAGATTATAATCAACTTCCGGAATAAATAAGGTACTCTTTCCGTTCCGAAATTATTGTCCAACTTTGGACAGAGAGAGGTCTTTGGTAAGGATCATTAGGTGGTTTGAAATTCATATTTTCATTAATTTGATTTTTATTTTTTTACAAGTATCGATGTTTTACATTTATCTAGGAATATAGATAAATGCTCTTGCTTTTTCACACTATCATTTAATCTTGACGTATTATTAAAATAGTAACATCCTCTCAAAACAAATATACATGCATGCCATCACCTAGTTGTAAGTTTTTCCCCCAAATCATAATATTTCATTTATCCCAAAATTATCAAATCGATCAAGTTTGGATCTTAACTTTTATTTTTTTACAAAAGTTCAAAATTCAAACTAGACAATAATTTCAGGACGGAAGGAGTAAATTCTTTGATTGCCAAGTGTCACCTTCCAAGAAAAATAAATTGTGAATTTTTCTTAAATGGTCCAACTCTTTTGCCATTATATCATTTGTGCTTAGTTTATGGTCAAACTCATGTCATCATATTGTTTTCCTAATGTTGATTGCACATTTTTCATCAATATTTATGGTAAATCTCATTCACATTATTATCCCCAATATTAATTGCAGTTTCTTCAACAAGAATTGCATATTCTTCTACATTATTTTTTCAAGTAAAAAAATTCAGTCTTGAGTCGTGTGAAAAATTCTTGTAATGGTCAATTTTTGTTGTGTCACGCCCCAACCTAAAGCCTAGTTAATACTCTACAAGTACAAGAAAACATATCATTCAATGTCATACAAGCAAAGCTACATACGTCATTTTAAATGACTAAGATAATAAAATTCATATCAAGAAGGGTTACATCAAAATTATATTGCACCGGAAACTAAATTCTTATCAAATTTGTTAGACATTTTTTTCCTTTCTCTAACATTGCAAAAAGGTCCACCCTTTGTAACAATCATCGTCACTGTCACTCCAAATATTTATCGAGTGTCAGTACATGCAAGTTCAAGTACACACAACTTTTCAAAAAAAAAAACATTCACTGAAACATGATCTTTTCAAAACAACATTTCATAACAAAATGTTTCTTTTCTTTAGAAAAAAATTATTCATAACACTTCCACATTTCAAAAACATTCCCTTTTCAGTCATACGACTTTCACGTTGAGAAAATGAGGCTATCCCATTTATTTCCACAAAAATAGAAATTCACATTGTAAAATATGACATAGCTCATAAATATTCCTAGCTTTCGAAAGTTGGGCAACATTACTATAAAAAATTGGAGACTCTGATAAACATCCACTTTGGCAAAATTGACACAAAATAATATACTTTATCATAATAATCTGGCATAATTATGGATATAATTCCCCCAAAGTTTTTGGTATCCTTTTAACTTAAGGCCAATTGTGCCTCACTTGAGCATTCCACATTTTTCGTTCACTTTTACATTACTCATTTGGATTTTCTAGTTTTTTCATCAACTTTCATATTTACTCAACGATTTGGGATCTTCAACTTTCTCATCCCTTTGCCTTTTGTGATCACTACCATATAATATCATGCGTGCATATAGTCTCAACTCCTAAACAATAAACGTTGATCTCGCATAAATACTATAAATAAGTATGTACACTGTATGAGAGAATGAACACCATGTATACCACGAAATCATTTAGTTCACATAATACTTAAACAAGCATGTGCAAGGGAACACACTTTCTTCCTTGCTAGCCCAAAATAGTTAACCCAAGTTGTTAGTAGTTTACGAGTCTGAGACTTATATACATGTCATTCACTTTGTCAGGTGGTGATTTAGGACAGGATGTTTATAAAGTGAACACCTTTGTTTGTAAGTAAAATTTTGGGGGTAAACTCCTCCATTAAGAGACACTACTATTCCTTGAGCCCTTTACTATTTATTGGTGGCTTTTACCCTTTTCTTTTTATTTTATTATTTTTTTATTATTTAAGGTTGTCTCTTACTATTCATGGTTGTCTCTTACTTTTTATGTTACTAATGTTATCTTGTTTATTGAAGTATCAGACTTCTCTTATATTTATGCATTTGGATGATGATTATTTGTAACTTGCTACACAATATTCTTAAAATCTTCTTTTATTTTATTTTTTAAATTCATCACAAAATTAATTTTGGAAAATTTTTCGAGTACCACATGTTATCTTCTGTATCACATGATTTTTTATAAAATCAACATGAAATTCAATTTCATCTATAGTCTATTGTTTTCAATGATTCCAAAAATGTTTGAGAAGATTGTTGATTGAAATTACTCAATATATTTATGAATATTCAACATTATTTTTTTTGCTCATGGTATGGTTTATATGAAATTAATAGTCAATAGTCAAACTTCATGCTCTTCAATATCATATACTTTAGAGAAATTAATAAATATTAAACTTAATTTGGTTTTGTACTACACGTCCCAACATAATCTAATGAGTTGACTTTCTCCTAAATGGTCAAACTCTTTCCGCATTGTTTATTGTACCCTATTTACGATGAAACTCATTCTATGTTGTCTTTGCCAATATTTGTTGCATATTATTCATCGAAATTGCACATTTTTCTACATTACTTTTCTAGTTAAAAAAGAAATGAATTTCCATCCTTGAACCTTGTAGTTGACACAATTTTTTTTTTCTTTTGGTGTGAATATTCATGGTTTGGTGAAATTTTGTGGTGTTCCTTATCATAATGTTTTCATAAAATCAACATGAAATTTAATTTAATTAAAGTTAGTTAATACTCAATTTTAGTCAATAATTTCCACAATGTTTCAGAACATTTCTCATTAAAATTAGTCAATAGTGAAGAATATTTCTCATTGTTTATTGTACAAATTATATGGTATCACCCTATTTATACCCAAGAAAAGAAAAAAAAATGGATACAGTTTGTTTGTTGTGTGAAAATCTTCATCATCAAATTTTTCATATTTGGTTTCAATAAAGAAAATATTTGTTTTCTTCATTTGTACAAATTCATTTTTATTACATAAACAACTTCATGAATTATAAATAATATATATTCATTTTTCATATTTGGTTGCAAAGGGAAAAAAATGTGCTGTCAGATGCACACACACACACACACACACACACACATACATTTATAAATTCATGAATTATAAGTAATATTCATTTGTATTACATATACAAATTTATGAATTAAAATTTTCTCTCGTGTGTATTCATGTTAAAATTATGAATTTTCACGATGGAAAAATTCTTAAAATTTCATTGAAAATGTGAGTCCGTCAAAAGAAATTGCAGTTTGAAACTTTGATTCATCAGACGAATTTTGGAAGCCCAAAATCCGAATGAATTTTCTTTTCTGTTGAGCTGATATTCATTGATGAAAAAGTAAGGATCTTTAACTTAATTAGTTTATATAGTAAGTAATGAGATTTCATTGTTGTAATTGTTGAGATATTCTTATGAAACTCTTATAATATGTTTGGGGAAATAAGATTTAAGTTTCAAAGTATAAGGGTATGCCACCAAAATTTCAGAATTCTATTGTTGGAAAGGGATTTCATCACCAAATTAGCTATTTTGGAAAACAAGGAAAAATAAAAATTTATTGGTCATATGTACACAATCAACATTCTCCACTCTTCCCCATTTTACTTTTCAATCATGGTTGATTTATTTGCAGAAATGTTTTGCCTTGTCATCCTCAGACATGTTATCTAGGCTTCATTTGACATTCAAATGGTAATTAAATTCATAAAAATAAAATTTAAAAATTAGACCTTAAAGGATTTTTTTTTGTATCGTTTTATATTATTAATATAAAAATGACTAGATGAAACTTACTTCGTCTTTTCAATTATGTCAATGGTCCAATAAATTTCCAAACTTAATTGAAATTGGACTAATATTGTGTAGAATCAAAAGGCAGTCAGGCAGCAATGCCTCCTATCTACCACAACATTTAATTCATAAATACATACTACATCGAGGTAGGTACCAAAATAAAAAGACTCTTTTCTTGTTTGAGGAAAAAATAAAAGACTCATATTTTGTCTGGAGAGAAATTTATTTAATTTGATACGGAGTCATCAACACAGAATAAGAGACTCATGTGTATATATATATATATATAGACTCATTCCATTTGCTTCAAATAACATAATGATGACTTATTCCAGCATTTCTCCTAAATGTTTCCGCATTTATCTACACATATCAGACTTTGATGGAAGTTAAGTGGAGAAAATCCAGATGGTTATGTGTGTGTGTGTGTGTAGATATATATATATATATATATATATATATATATATAAAGAAGCCAAAGTTCTAATTAAAACCCTCTAACATAACCTTTGAGCATATGCATTATTAACGTTCAAATGGTTGATAAATTTGCACAACTTTCTCCCGTTGATCCACAAAAAGATCCCTATGGCTATCTGGGACTGGTTCAAAACCCCGATGGTTTGGTCTCACGTTCCAATGAAAACCACTCCAATCTTCTTGTTAAGGATGTCACCATAAACCAATCCAAAAACACATGGGCACGTGTCTTCCTCCCAAAAGAAATGGTTTATTCCAATCCAACCTCAAAACTCCCTGTTTTAATCTACTTTCATGCCGGAGGATTTGTTATATGTTCCGTTTCCACGCCATTCTTTGAAGATCTCTACACCACGTTCACGACAAAGCTTAATGTTATGCTTATATCAGTAGACTACCGTCTTGCTTCAGAACATAAGCTGCCCGTGGCATACGATGATTGTAAAGAAGCTTTGGAATGGATCCATGATTCGAAAGATGAATGGTTGACTAAATATGCAGATTTATCCAACAGTTTTCTCATGGGGAGTAATGCCGGGGCGAATATAGCATATAATGTCGGGCTGAGTATCACTGATGATCAAGATAATAATAATCTTCAGCCTCTAAATATTAAAGGGTTGATTTTAAACCAACCTTTCTTTGGTGGAATGAAGAGAACAGATTCGGAATCGAAAGGCACTGACGATAAGATGTTGCCACCTTGTCTAAGTGATGTGATGTGGGAATTGGCATTGCCGAAAGGCGCAGATCGCGATCATGAGTTCTCTAACCCATTGATGGATCCAAAATCAGGTCGATTCGAGAAGATTAAAGGTTTGGGATGGAAGATTTTGGTGACAGGTTGTGATGGGGATCCGTTGTTTGACAGACAAGTTGAGTTTGTGAAAATGTTGGAAGGGAAGGGTTTTGTCTGTGAAAGGTGAATTTCGTGATAGAGGGTTTCATGGATGTGACATTTTTGATGGTGCTAAAGTTCAGGCTTTCTGTGAGGTTGTGAAAGAGTATATGAAATCTGTTGTTTGAAACTCGTGAAACTAACACATTTTGATTAGTAGGAAACTTTACGAGTATGTTTTCCTATTCCTACGAATTAATCATTGTAATGGTTTATAATTAGCCTTTTTTATGTTGTCTCCAGTTGTTTGTGTATTTTGATCAAACCACATTATTAGTACGTAATACTATACTCCCTTTTGTGTTGTTTGATTCATAGCACTACTTTTGCAATGATATTATAGTCATTCTGGGATGGAGAGAATAGTACTCCCTCTGATCTTTATTATAAAGCATTTTGAATGATTTTAAGGTTTTACTTTCAATTAGAAGAACAGAGTAAATGAAATTTTTATTTTCAATTAGAAGAAAATAGTAAATTAAATTTTGGACAAATCAAAAGCCTTATATTGTGGACCGGAGGGAGTACTCGATTTGCAGTGATTTATACGCTTTTAGATTCCATATTCTGAGCAAAAGAAAAATCGTGATTTATATAGACACTAAGCAATTGATGAAAATGCTATAAATTTTAACTCCATAATATCAAATTGCCACATAGGACACAAGAACCAACTATAAAATCATACGTAAGTTTATATCATAGCTAATTTACTCGAATATAGTTTGGTCTTTAGGTTGGTATTGAAATTTTTATTAAGGGCATAAGAAAGATCGTAATTATTTATTCTATTTTAATCAATATTTAAAAACTTCTAATGTTTTTCTTTATACCTCAAAACACTAAATCTTATCTTGAACTAATTTATCTATCTTCTCTGTATCCTTTCCTCCATTTTAATTCAGGCTCTCCAATTTTTTTAGTACAATAAATTTTTTTGGTTCAATTTTTTTTTGCTAATTTCAACAAAACATTATGGAAAGCCGTCAATCTAAATTATTGCAAAACGTTGGTACGAGAAAACTATGATATCATGTTACATTCATAGTTTTAAAAACGCTGGTGGTTCATCTAACTACAATCGTCTTCCATTCCACCCGACTACAGTTACTAATGAATCTGTAACAAAGCTCTAATGCAACCATACAGATATTCATTACAAAGCCCTTACGTAAACCAAAAACTTCCTCCTCATCCTTAACCATCTAAACAACAGTTAGGTTGTCAACCTCTACTACAATCATCCGCATTCTTAGTTCCCAATCAAGATACAACCCCTTATGTAAATCCCAAACCATTGAATCCAAATTTTCAATAAAGCCTCTTCTAGGAAAATTTTATGGTCCAGTAATGGATTTTTGACCGAACCATCTAGTCTAAATATAGCCACCCAAGATTTGGTGTGTATTACATAATACAAATCTTTCACTTGATAATAAATTATTATTTTTTTCATAATTAACTGATCATGAAGCGGCTAAATCGCCATATTTTTTGTCACAATAAGAGAAGCCAACCCCTGAATTCGCACATATCTGAGATATGCAACCCCTCTAACATTATGTTGTAGTCATGGACTTTATCCCAAATGGGATAAATCACCAATTTTAATCCATAGTTTCAAAACCCAGTGCCACCAATTGGATTAGTAAAGAAAAGAACAATTCAAAGGGTACCTTCAAAGAAAAAATATATTTGATGACCAAACGCTGCATTGGAATTTGATGGCCAAAAATTCCTTAGACTTCTGTATGTAAACACTTAGAGATTGAATGGAAACAAGAAAAGAGCGGCTTAAAAAACTTGACTCTCATGAATGTTATGCTCTGAGACTTCCTTTGGAGGAGAATAGGAGACACCTTGAAAAGCCTCTATTTGCAATGGATCCGGAGACCCTTAACCTTTAAGAGAGAAAAGATATTCTTTAGGATACAGAGCTAGTTTCATCGGAAATTAGGAGAAGGGAAGAGGATTTTCTATTATATTCAGCTAAACTTGAAAAATTAATCTAGTTTTTTAGATCAGAGAGATAACAAAGGATAGCAGGAAACAAGATATTGATGTGGAACAGATCTAAAGAGACAGACACAAGAAAGCTTAACTAGTGAGTAACTCCATTCAAGGACGTCTTAATCGAATGTTGAAGTACATGAAACTATTTTCAGGGAAGCAAGAAAAGATCTGGTGGCCCGTGAAGCTCACCGATGGCTAAGAGAAATCCACAAATACTTTAAACAAACGGCTGATACCATTGACTCAAACAAAACTGAACTCGATCTTTCAACATCAATGGTGTATCATCCATTGTTGATGAAGAAAGTAATACCCTTCTATAGAGTATCACTTGGAAGCTACCATCACCAGTGTAAGAAATAATGCGCATAATTTTTAGGAGCGGACTAACCACAATGCATTGAGTATAAAGCATCTTCTAAATATTTGGAAAATGATACTGATCCTTATGGGGACACATTAGGCTCACCTTTTAGCAGGAATCCACTCAACACAAGAATCCTTCTGTAATTTTCTTGAACAGCATTGTTCCTCTTAATCTTTTTAGCCAATTCTGGAAAAAAAAATATCTATACAAATCCAAAACATGGTTTTCTCCAATTACAACCAGATCGAACGGGAGAATGATGGACTTATATGTTTTGAATTATCCCACTGAATTAAGATTATTGAATAATCCTAGTATTGTAATTGTCATAATTAGTCAATGTACTAAAGCCTTGGTTTGGTGTGATCTGGTGGAGTAAGTTTGAAGTCCCCAGAACTGTGAAAGCATTGTTCTCTCCGATTTTGACCAACTTGTGAACTAAGTTCCGGCACAAGTTGGCCTCAAGGTGGAGAATCGCTGATGGAGTTTGAGCGCCATGGACGACTAAAACCTTATTGTTATTGGAATGTGAATTGACTACTCGACGCCATCCATAGAATCCATTAGGGTTTTAATTTGTCATCGAGAAAAACTGACCGTATATTTTTGGAGGAGATATGGGCATCATCAAATATGAAAGATCAGAGGACTATTAGTCGTGTTCTTGGTTACTTTTACGGTAGGCGTTTAATGATATTTCTTTGTTTCATGCAGATGAGGAGTTTTTTTTTCCAATTTGTTAAAATCAGTTGGATTTCATACTAACATAGATTTTGTATGAATTGATTCAATAGTTTCCACTTAACTAGGCAATAATCAAGTGTATTTGGTGTATCCTCTTTAAAAATACCTTTTCTTTTTTAATATAACGGTTGGGATTTAGTCATGGTCATCCTACTACTATTAATTATGATTGTACGATTCAGTCGACTGTACTCTAGCCACTTATATACATATATAAAAGCATAACGTTAAACAAATTAGCGTCTTTATATATCTACCTATTACTGTACATATCTATATATCCTATTATGGGAAAAAACAGTATAATTCCAAATGCTGATGTGGCGCTTTATCCTTAATCCAAATCCCGCCAAAATCATAAGTAACTAATAGTAACTAATCTAATTACATTAATTAATGGTAAAATTAAAGAGATGTAGTTTTAATCATCATCAAAGTCTAATCATGGGTACTAAACTCCTCCAAAACTCCTTATTTACAACCTAAAACCAACCCACTTCTATACCACGTAATTCAGTTTCTTTTTTAGTAGTATTAGCATTCGCAACTAATCCTTGATTTATGCTTTGACGAGTCCTGTGGAGGAATCTTCTTCTTCTCTCTGGACAAAAAGCATCAATAATACCCCTTCCCCAAAATAATGGTACTCTCCTCTTTTCTTCTGTGGTTTGTTGAGTCATTTTATCTCTTTCATCTGCAGCAATGCCCTTCAATTTCACAACTTCATCTTCACCATTATCAAGAATCGGCAATCGCCTTGCTCTTTGCAACCGCTTGTGATCAATAGATAATGACCAGAATTCCCTAGAAAGAGGCTGAACGGCATCGCCGACGGACTGATTGAGGTGGAAAAGTGGCGGCTGCGGCTGCGGCTGCGGCTGCGACTGCTGAAGGGCGGACAGAGTGCGCGGTTTTCTCTTTCTTTTTTTTATTATGGGTACAATCACGATAATCTGTTTCAATTGGTCTTACGGACATTTACTTTCTTCAATTACTTACTTTATACTTTGAAATCTGGTTTTCTAGTAATCCCAAAATTAATTCTCATCCAAGTTTGTGGAAAACATATATAGCGTGCTTCTTTCCCTGATTCAATACGTCCTCTGCTTTATCTAAGGAACTCATCGACATGTTATACATAAAGAATCGATTTTTTTACTTTTTCTCGGTTCCTTTTATGGAGGATTAAGTATTTGTAAAATAGATGCAAAAGGTTTAAACCTAAGGGGAAGTTCACGTTTTTTACTCAAACATTTAACTAATTAGATTTTTATTAGACCTTTATGTGAAGGTTGAAATGGGGTCCAAAATTTATTATATGTGAAATTATCTATGGAAGTTAGGCTTTAATGTTCTTCTATCTGTGCATTTTGAAAATGTTATAAGGGAAAAATATAGACACAAAGAATTGAGAAATTAAAATAGTTTTTTTTTGAGCTTTTTTATATTTCTTGATATTTGTCACTGAAAGGATTGAACATGCATTTGATGCGAGAGATCCAAGTCTCTTAGGAAAAATGTATTTGTCAAAAGTCCTTAGTCCTATGTTCTATGAAACACTTTGTCGCAATTATTGATTGTAGGAGGAAGCTTGTAAAGCCAAGAAAAATTAATGGGAAAGGTAAGTTTTTGTGTCCAATTTTACGTTTAAGCTCATGAATTTAGTAGTCCACGTTCTTCATCTGTATGAAGATTTATGCCTATGAGATTGATCGGTTGAGTTGTTTCATATATACATGGAGCTAAATTTTGCAGGAGATTCATTAATAACTTTAGCAATGGATAGTCTTGATGGATTGTTATGGTTAGATAAACCTCCGGCCATTTTAAAACCTTAGATAGCACATGATATTAATTGTTTGAATATTGTACCAACGTGCTATAATAACTTAGAAGTTAAAGGCAATTGCCTCCTTATATTGTACCCAAAAAAAAAAAATACCCGTATGGTTACTACTAATGTATTAAAAGATGTCTAAACTTTGAATTTGTCCTCTTAGTTTGGAGCTGCGTTAGATGCATTAAAAAATAGAAGTTGGGTAAATAACTTAGTATTGTAACGGTTCCTTAAATATATTTAGATAATATCCATGTTGGCATGAAAAACTTGATCCAAATCATATAATGGTGGGTTTAATTTTCCAGTGCAGTTTGATGAACTAAAAATTTGT